CAATCCCTGGCATCCCATATGGCCCTCCTGAGCACCGCCAGGAGGAGTTCCTAAGTGCAGAGCCAGGAGTAATGCCTGACCACTACTGGGTGTGGCCCCCCAAACCAAAAACAACAAAATACCATAGGCCATTGCAAAAAATTCCTGTGTTCAACAGAACATATCCAAAAGAATAAACAACAAAATGAGGCTTTTTTTTTTTTTGGTTTGGGGTCACACCCAGTAGTGCTCAGTGCTTATTCCTGGCTCTGTACTCGGGGATCACACCTGAGGTTTGGGGGACATGTGGGGTTCTGGGGATTTAATCTGGGTCAAATGTATGCAAGGCAAATACCCTACCTGAAGTATTATTTTTCCAGCCCCCCAAATAAGGCTTTCTAAAAGGGAAGTGTGAGTCACTGCTCACATGTCAGGCATCTAGTATTTAATATGGAGATGGAGAGTTGATATCTCTTTCAAAATACTTGATAGGATACGGTTAAATTTTTTTTCTTTTTGGGTCACACCCGGCGATGCTCAGGGGTTACCCCTGGCTTTGCACTCAGGAATCACTCCTGGCGGTGCTCAGGGGACCATATGGGATGTTGGGAATTGAACCCAGATTGGCTGCATGCAAGGCAAACGCCCCAACCTCTGTGCTTTTGTTCCAGCCCCAGATATGGTAAAATGTTTTGTTACATATTTGTTCACGGTAAATAAGTTGTTTACTAATAAAATACTTAAAACTACTTAACTGTGGGGCCGGGGAGCCAGTTTGAAGGGCTGGAGCACATGCTTTGCGCTCAGGAAGCCCAGGTCCCATCCCTGTCTCCACATGGTCTCCCAAGCATCACTGGGAGCAACCTTCAAACACCCCCTAAACCCCCCAAAAGAAAGCCCTACTTAAGATTGCCTCTAGAAGAATATCAAGTCTTTCTACCCTTCTGCTGGATCTCTATACCCACTGGCAGGCGGATTGAAAAGTCCCATTCTGTCCTTATAAACCCAGAAGGGCTGGAGCAATAGCACAGCAGGTAGGGCGTTTGCCTTGCAAGCGGCCAACACGGCCAACCTGAGTTCGATTCCTCCACCCCTCTCGGAGGGCCGGGCAAGCTACTGAGAGGATCCCGCCCGCACGGCAAAGCCTGGCAAGCTCCCCATGCCAAACACAGTAACGATTGTCACAATGGAGACGTTACTGGGCCCACTCGATCAAATCAATGAACAACGGGAGGATAGTGACAGTGACAGAAATCCAGAAGACTGCACACACACCTCCCGGCCAATAGGCGGAGTCACACAGGGCGGGTGGAAACACCAGCCACAGCACTACCCTCCCTCCTTGCTGGCTTCTCTGGGTCCTCTGACAAGGTGCTTGCTCGCTGGGCCTCAGTTTCCCCATGTGCTCAATAGGCATTGGGTCTGGTATTGGTACATCTCCAAGTCTCGGCTGGTTCTAACAAGATTGGGGCAAAGTCACTTAACGCTTACTCTTCAGGCTCTGAGGCTGCTGCCCATGTAGTACTTTGGGGTTTGTTTTGCTCGATGCAGGTGGATTTTGGACCCCGAGACTCAGTAGACAGACAGAAGGCGCACACTCTGCCCACACCCATTCCAAAGTCCCCAGCTGAGCCAACGGTCCCACCCTTTGATTCCTCTTTATTTTTGAATCTTGGGTCTTTGAGGTCCTGGTTCTCTGCTCAGGAATCACTCCTAGGGGTGTTTGGTGTCCGGGGATCACATGGGGTGCTGGGGATCAACCTGGGTGGGCCGGGCCCAGGCAAATGCCCTCCGCATTGTACTATGTCTCCGACCCAGCTTCAAACCCTTGTGTGCACCCAGCTATGGGCTCGGGTCTGTGGGAACAAAGGGAATGTTTTGTTTGTTTTTTCCGTACTGTTACTGTGCTGTTTTGGGGCCACACCCAGCAGCATCTGGGGGTACTCCTGCCCTCTGCTCTATTTCTGTGGCCCTCCTTTTCCGTTTCATTGAAAGCTTCCAGTGGGAGTCTTGGCCTGCCAGCCGCTGGGGAAGTGAGTTAGACAGGAACTTAGCTCTCAGGCCTCATGGGGTGGCATGGAGCAGCGGTCAGATATAAATAAACTAGTCAATCTCGCTTATTCTAGCAGCGAAACTCTCCAGGAGGGGCCCTCGAGACAGCACAGGAACTAAGACACTTACCTGCAAGAGACCCCCTTAGGTCCCCAGTGCTGCATACGGTCCCCCAAGCACTGCCAGGAGTGACCCCTGACCACAGAGTCAAAAGTAGTTCTGGGCACCACTGGGTGTGGCCCACTTCCTCCACCCACTGAAACCCCCAAGCCCTAAGAACTATAAAGGAAATAAGATAGGGGTAGGCTGGGCCGGAGAGATAGAACAGGGGATAAAGTGCTCGCCTTGCACATAATCAACCCGGGTTTGATCCCGGTATCCCATATAGTCCCCAGAGCACCACCAGGAGTGATTCCTGAGTGCAGAGCCAGGAGCAGCCCCTGGCCATTGCTAGATATGCCCCCCTTCAAATGCCCCCCCCCAAGTGAGTCAGGTAAGAGCTCCTGAGAGTTAGAAAAAAGTGAAATGGGATCTTCCCTCTGTGCAAGTGTGCTTGCACAGAGATATGGAGGTAAGTGGTTGGGGTGACAAGGACAAAAGCGGCAAGAAAGAAGGCCAGTGCAGAGAGAATTCCCTGTAAAGGCACCAGAAAAACACCCAGAATTCCATAGATTCTGGGGGTTGAGGGGCTTCAAGGGCATCCTTCAACGTGGACGAGGGGAGGGGCGCGCCCTAGTGGTCACAAGAGTTGCTTGCCTTGGCTGCCCTAGAATCATCCAAACTGGCCACTTGATTTATTAACGAATTCTTGGTTTTATTTTTGGGGGGGAGCCACACTTGGTGATGCTCGGGGGTCACTCCTGGCTCTGCACTCAGGAATCACTCCTACGGTCCTCAGGGAACTGAACCCTGGTTGACCTTATGCAAACTGAGTACCCCCCAGACTGGACTATAGTTCCAGCCCCAAACTGACCCCTTAAACCAGGGCTACTTAGGAGCTTCTCTTCTCCCTGGCTTCCCACACTGATTCATTCAACGAATCGGCTACTCAACGCGAGAATGTGCCAGGTTCTTTCTAGATGCTCGAGGAAGTTGTGAAATAGATTGTAAAGGTCCCTACCCTGTGGAAGCGGGAGTCCTAGGGGACAGGCCTGGCCCAGGGCCCAGCCACACCTCACCTCTGACCTCTACTCTTCCCTGGCAAATTGCCAGATGGGACGACCATGGCTTCAGGGTGTCTGTGCTTGCATCCCTAGCCCCGGGAACAGGGCTGCTCAGGGGAGCAAAGTAAGCTGGTCAGAGGGGTCAACTTCTCTGAGCCACTGTTCTCACTGAAACAAAGATTTCAGGAGGTCACTGGTTTTCATGCACTCAGGAATTAGCACTTTATAGGTGCTCACTTGCCGAATGGGATTGAACTTCCACACGTTCAAAACCCATTTGTGGGGGGCTGGAGCAATAGCATCGCAGGTAGGGCTTGCCTGGCATGTGGCCGACCCGGGTTCGATTCCCAGCATCCCATATGGTCCCCCGAGCACCGCCAGGCCAGGAGTGATTCCTGAGTGCATGAGCCAGGAGTAACCCCTGTGCACCACTGGGTGTGACCCAAGAAGCAAAAACAAAACAAAACAAAAAACAAAACATTTATGGTGCCTCAGGATGGGATTCAGTGGTAAAGCCTTTGCTTTGAAACATGAGACCTCGGTTAGATCCCTGACAGCAGGGGGGGGAATTAAAAACATGTATAGGGTGACAGGCATTGGTGAACTGTGTGAATGAAATGAACAAAAAATCCCTGCCCAGCCTTATTCTAAAGTGAAAAATGAACCCCCCCTCCACTCCCAACTCCTCCTTAATTTTTTCCTATACATTTATCACCTTCTAAAATTCCCCAGGCCAGGGGCTGGAGTGATAGCACAGCGGGTAGAGTGTTTGCCTTGCACGCGGCCGACCTGGGTTCGATTCCCAGCATCCCGTATGGTCCCCTGAGCACCGCCAGAAGTAATTCCTGAGTGCAAAGCCAAGAGTAACCCCTGTGCACCGCCGGGTGTGACTCAAAAAGAAAAAAAATTAAATAAAAAAATAAAATTCCACAGGCCGGAGTGATAGCACAGCGGGGAGTTTGCCTTGCACGCAACCCACGCAACCGGCAACCGACCCGAGTTCGATCTCCAGCATCCCAAATGGTGGCCTGAGCACCAGCACCGCCAAGCCAAGAGTAATTACTGAGCACAGAGCTAAGAGTAAGCCCTGGGCATCGCCCCTGGCTGTCGCGGCCCCAAGGTGTGACCTCCTCATAAAAATGAAATACGGCTATAACGTAGTACTTCTCGATGTGTATTTTCTCTCGGCCACTCGAAAGTGAGTTACAGGAGAGCAGAGAATTTTGTCCATGCGCGCTCTGGACGCGTCTCGGTATCCAGCAGGCGCTCAATGTGTGCAGGACGAAGCCTAGAGGCACGGAGGCAAGTGCCACCCCGCTCTTTTTTCTGCAGAACGTGGGCCACCTTGTCCCGAGGGGGAATCGAGCCTCAGGGAGTTCCCAAGGGTGACCTCGGAGTCTGAGTGCCGGAGCGGGGCCGCGGGAGCAGCTGCGGAGACCCGAGGCGCGAGCCGGGCCAGCGCGAGGCCCGGGGGCGTGGCGCGCTTCCAGGAAGAGGGCGGGAGCAGGCGGCGCCGCGCCGGGGCCTGTGGGCGGGGCCGTCGGAGGAGCCCGTCACCTGACTCCCGCGGGCCACGCCCACCCGGCGGGCCGCATGCAAATCGGCCGGCGGCGGGGAGGGCGGGCACATGCAAATCGGCCGGGGCGGCGGCCAATGGCAGCTCGCGCCGGGGTCCGGGCCGGGGAGCCGGGCTCGGCCCGCGCGCCGCCCGCCGAGCCGCCGCCCGGGCTTTGGCAAGAGGCGCGGCGGGCTGCGAGCCGTAGGGCCGCGCGCGCTCGCCGCCTTCCTGCTCGCCCTCGTCGTCGGCCGCCGGCCGGGTCGCGCCGGGCCCGCGCGGCGCAGGCGGCGGCTGCCGCGGGCGGGGGCGGAGGGAGGGAGCCGGGGGCCGCGGACCGCCGCGCCCGGCCCGCGCCTTGGCCGCGAGCTCCATGCATCCGGAGCCCGCCCCGCCCCCGACCAGCAGCCCCAGCCCCGAGCTTCCCCTCCGCGGCGGCAGCACCACCACCAGCGGCAGCCGCCGGAGCCGCCGCAGCGGGGACGCGGAGCCGCCCGGGCCGCCGCCGCCCGCCCTCGCCTACCCGGACTGGATCGGCCCGACGTACTCGGAGGTGATGAGCCTCAACGAGCACTCGATGCAGGCGCTGTCCTGGCGCAAGCTCTACCTGAGCCGCGCCAAGCTCAAAGCGTCCAGCCGGACCTCGGCGCTGCTGTCCGGCTTCGCCATGGTGAGCTCGGGCCGCCCTTGCCCTGCCCCCTCTGCTGCCCGGCCGCCGCGACGGGGCCCCTCCGGGGGCCGCCTGGGCACGGGGGCGACGGGGGCCGCGGACCCGCTTCCCTCCTGCCGCCGGGCGCTCCTCGCCGCTCCGAGGAGGGCGCCTGCAGTGCTCGGCCCGGCGCGGGCTCTGAGCCCTGGGGACAGGTGCTACAGGTGGGCGGAGGGGCGCGCGCCCGGGCTTCCCCGCCGCGTCCCCCACCCGCGGCCGGGCCGGGGCGCCGTTTCCACTCGCGAGGGGATTTCCCACCGCGACTTCCGACAGCCCCCGCCTGGGGGCCGACAGCCGCCCCCCACCTCCGGGGCTGCTGCAGGAACTTGCACTGGGTCCCGGCTGCGGGGGAGGAGGGCGGGTCAGTGCCTGCCGGACGGACGGGCCGGCTCTTGGTTTGGGGGCGGCCGGCCTCCTCTCCCGCGGCCCGGTGGAAGCAGCCGAGGGGGAGGGTGGGGGAAGGGCCTCACCCCCTGGCCCCGGGGCCTGGAATCCCGGGCGTGAGGCCCTGCCCCTGAACAATTCTAGCTCTGGGTGATGTCAGCCCGGCCTGGGGTCTGCCTGCTAGTTGGTGAGCTCAGCCCTGGGCCTGGCCCGGGAGTGGCCTAGCCCTGAATTTTCCCGGGAAGGGCGTGTGCCGCCTCTGACCCTGGGCTCCGCCGGCTCCGGGCAAAGGCTGTGAAGCCTGAACGTGGCAGGTGCCAAGCGTGTGCCCACGGCAGACACCCGTGCAGAGAGGCCAAGGCCGGGTGACTGCAGCCGGGAGGAGTTCCTGCGCTCGGCCACTTGCTGCTTGACTGACCTCGAGCAAAGCCCCCGCGCCTTCGTTTCCGATTGTCTGACTTCTCAGAAGTGGAAGGCCTGGGAGGAGAAGGGAGTATGAGTGTGTGTGTGTGTGTGTGTGAGATTCACCCACGTGCCCGTGAATCAGGGAGGGGCGCCCTAGTTTGTAGTTGGACCCATACAGTGGAATGCAGTTTCTCTCCATCTCAGATTGCGAGTCTCTTGGCCTGGAGAATCTCTAAGCATAGCTGAGCCCCCTCCCCCCCGGGCCCCGGAAGTCTTCACCCGCCTTTCCAAAGCCACGCCGCCCACTGCTCAAGCCGGACCCGAATCAGGCCCAGGCTGAGGCACGGCCACCCTGGGTGGTGTGTGACGCTCTATCGGACACTGTGCTGGCGACATCAGGAGCAGCTCTTACAATGGGAACTGGAGCAGAAACGTGCTCTTAAAACAGGCTTCTGGGGCTGGAGCAGTAGTGCAGCGTGGAGGGCGTTTGCCTTGCATGTGACCGACCCTGGTTTGATCTCCGGCCTCCCATTTGGCTCCCTGAGCACTGCCAGTAGTGATTGCTGAGTGCAGAGCCAGGAGGAACGAACCCCTGAGCATCGCCAGGTGTGATCCCCTGCAAAATGCAATAAAGACAAACAGGCTTCCCTTGCTCCGAAGAAGGTGCCGCTGCCTGGGGCAATGGATTTAGGATGGTGAGGTGCCCTGCCCCCTTTCTTTGGGGGAAGAGGGGCCTCTATACTACTCAGACCCCTTCCCCGTTAAGCAGAAGTGATGGCGACACTTGCTGGCCTGAGTCTCCTCTATCCTAAAGAAGCACCTTTAAGTCCCCTCTGCTCCCGCCTCCTGAGCCCCGGGCCACCCCAGGACCACCCTGCGCTGGATAGAGCAGTGCCCCGACTTCACTAATGGGTCCCAGGATTCTGCTGAGAAGGAAAGGCTGAAACCCAGATGAGCGTCCAAGTGGGCCCGTAACCAGGGGGTGCTGCCTTTGGGCAGGAGCCTGCGAAGGGGTTGGTCTTGCGAGTGACCCTCTGGGGGAAAGAGCGAGCTGACTGGCCTGGTCTCCGTGGCCTCTGAGTCAGCGCCCCGTGGCTTCCTGCCCCCTTAGTTTCCTTCCTTGGCCCATGCTGTCCCCTCCAGACCTGGGAAACTCAGAGCAGGTGAGTGGGAGGGAGGGTCTCTCAGGAACCTGGAGGGCACTGAGCCACCCCCCACCCATGTCCTGATGTGGGCAGATGGGCCTGGGACACCTTTGGACCTCAGTTTTCTCTGCGCTCCAGGGGACATGTGCCCAGTTGGCCAAGAACTGGCCAAGAACTTGTTGAGGGCTCCTGACTCGGCCCGTGGGACTGGTCACACAGTCTCAGTCTGTACTGCCCACCGTGGTCAGCACACAGGGTTCCTACTCCTGGCCACCCTTCTAGAGGCCTCTACGGTTGGCTCTGTTCACATCTGGGCACCTGTACAAAGCCAGGGCCCTGGATACAGCCCAGCAGGTGCCCAAAGAGCCCAGGCTCCGCTCCTGGGCTGTGCTCCCGTGCCTTAGTTTACCTTTCAGAGGATGCCAACCTTGGGCAGGCCTGCCTCCTGCAGGCCTGGGAGAGGCCCAGCTCCCCCACCTTGGGCTGTAACTTTAGCCTAAGCAGAAGATAATTGGGAAGGTCAGGCTTCTATTGTAAACAGAATGCTTTCCCCCACCTGGGATCAATTATTTTTGGATTATCTGCCTCCTCTGGTTCTCTGCCTTTTGTTGAAAGTTGCCTGGAATTTCTGTGAAAGGGCTGGAGGGAGGCTCCCAGCCTAGGTGAGACAGCCCTTCAGTGTGATTGGACTGGGGGGGGGGGGGGTTAGCCTCTGTGCACGTTAAACCTTGCTGGAGGGGGCGCTCTTCTGAGCCCCCCCAGGTAGGGTGGAACTAAAAACAGGGAGTGAGTCTAGGGTGACCCACTTGGTTCTGATCCCAGCTCTACCAGTACATCTGAGACCCGGTTGGGGCCCGGGCTTCAGCCTCCTCACATGTAAAGGGAAACGAGGCTAGTACCCACCTCGGAAGACTGAATTCTTGGTCCGGTTGATTTAGTATTTATTTACAAAGCACGTAGACCTTGCCGGCCTGGGTATCCAGGCAACTGCAAGATTCCAGCTAAGCCTGGAGGGCAGCAGCACCAGGGCTTGGGAAAGGCCTCTGGTCTGAGGCTGCGTCTGAACCCGCTGAGAACCGCCTGGTTCCCGGGAAGGGCAGCAGGGTGTGGATTTGAGGCTGTGTGGGGTACTGCAGGAGATCAGGAGATGAAGCTGGCCAGACAAGATGTGAGGCGGGGGCAGGGTCTAGACAGTTTAACAAGTTTGGATTCTTGGGGGGCTGGAGTACAGAGGGTCGGGTATTTGCCTTGCATGCAGCCAGCCCAGGTTCAATCCCCAGCACCCTAACGATCGATCCTCGGAGTTTGTCGGGAGTGATTGTTGGGCTGTTGGGCGCAGACCGGAGTAACACCTGAGCGTTGCCGAGTGTGACCCCAAAACCTTCAAGACCAAGAAGCATGAATTCTTGGGAACCTGAGAAACAGCACAGGGGTCAAGACGTTTGCCTGCATGTGGCCGATCCTGGTTTACTTCCAGCGTTTGAGGCCTTTGTTGGTCTGGCTGGCGCAGAATACCCAGGCCTCTCCTGAGCACCACTCTCCAGAGAGTTTGGACTTGGGGAGAGAGATGCTACAGCAGATAAGGCACTGCTTTGCATATTGCCGACCCGCACCGCCAGGAGTGATCCTTGAGCACAGAGCTAGGAGTAAGCCCTAAGCACTGCCAGATGTGCCTCCTCCAAAAAGAAAAAAAACCTAACCACCTAGTTTGGGCTCTGTTGTGTGGTCAGTGGGTGCTGCTGAAGGCGTGGCACGGACACTTTTCATGGTGACTTCATCCCGTGTTAGCGATGACATTCCCCAGCTCTTCCTAGCTGCTGAGTGACACTGCGCCTGGACCCTCTTTCTCCCTTACCTAGCCCTGCCATTAAAGTGATGTAGAAATAGGGTGCTCATCGCAGTCGAGGGGTTCCGGGTGTGGGTTGTTGCCTGCTGGCCATGGGTACGTGGGATTTTGCTGACCACCCGAAGAGAGGGTGCCCTCCACCCCGACCCCCAGATGCGGCCGTATTATTTCATGGGGGCTGCTTTATCTTTCGGAGTTTCCAGCGGGATGTGGATAGCTGTGTGGAGAAAGACAGACAGATGGGTTTAAGCTCCCTGGGACAGTGGTCAGGGCCTGGACCCTTGGGAGGGGAAGTTTCAGGGAAAGCTGGAAGTGAACCAGCAGCTTTCTCTCCAGATAGTCTGGAGAGGGCTAGGACTTGGCAGTGCTCGGGCGCTCCTGTGTCTGTGAAGTGTGGGGTCCCCCCTGCGCCCCCCAAGCAGCTGCAGCCTCACCTGAAAGACCAGAAACAGTATTTCCAGCGTGGCAGGTGCCGCGACCTCAGTGGATTCACCCACCTTTGGTGGCCTGTGTCTCTGTGCCAGTGCAACTGGAATTTCAGAAACGACAGCCCTCCACCATGCCCTGCGTGGGGAGCTGGGCCCCCGCGGGGGAGAAAGCGGACCCCAGATGGAAGTCGCAGCACGAACGCTTGCTTCCCAGGCAAATGTGCGTTGGCTGCGGTGTGTGTCCAACGTGGGCCCAGGGCTCTGCTCTGCTCCTGCCACTCAAGCCCCCAGCACCGGGCCCTACCCCCCCGGGCCCGTCCCATCCCTGACGTTCACTTAGCCTCAGTGTCCCAGGGCCCGATCCTATTGTGATCGTGTCTGGGTGGGCCCGGGAGGTGGTCCAGAGGGTAGGGAGCTTGCCTCGCATGCAGCCTGCCTAAGTTAGACCTCTAGCACCATGCACGGTCCCCTGAAAGCCCACCAGGAGTGATCCCTGAGCACAGCTGGGTGTGGCCCCCAAACCAGAAAGACATGACAGTTAACAGACATAAAAATGCATGGTTCAGGGTGCCAGAGAGTTGGGCCCACAGGGCTGAGCACCTGCCTTGCAGCTGGGAGAGAGAGACCTGATTTCGCCTCCAGCGTTGCATGGCCCCCCGCATGAGCAGCCCCCCACTCACATACACAGCTGAGATCGCCACTGAGATCTTTTAAGGTACAAAACGGGGCACTGGAGTGAGAGTATAGTGAGGA